TTCAGCCGGACTTTGCTAGTCTTTTTCCCGGCAGTTTGGTAAACTCCCCCTTAGCACACACCCTCTCGAAGAATTTTTATTCTTAGTAATTGAGTATTCTAGTGTAAAACAATCAAACATATGCAGAGTATCGATCGCGAACGGACGTGTTTTTTATCGCTCTGGTTATGGTGTTAAAAAATATAACAATATTGCAAAGTGTTAAGTTAATAGTTGCATTATTGGATTAATAGTGTGAAAAATAACGATTTAAACTAATAAGCCAACCAATAAGTCGAAATAAAAATAAAGATCAAAAAAGCAAAATTGACAAATAATAGCGCGCATTTAAGTTGATGTACATACATACGTATGCATATTAATCCAAACATAGCGGCTGCTGAGTGAGTGCGAAGATGTCGGAATGCGCGAAATGCCGAAAAGGCGTCAGAGGAGAGTCGGGTGTGCGTTGCCAAGGTGTGTGTGGGAAAGTGTACCATAGAACGCAAGCATGTGCGTCGGCTGACGATTACAGCCTAAAGGCACTAGAAAACTGTCCCCTCCTACGCTTCATGTGCGACAACTGCATGATGTACATAGCCAATGTGGATGAAGCTCTTAGAGAAATGATAGGTATAGCTGAGGCCAACAAGATGAATATAATAGAACAAAAGACAGATATTGAAAAAATGTTAAAAAATCACAGCAAAGAGGTAAAAAATGTTAGTTGATAGTATAAAGAAGGCAAACCAAGAAAAACTTGATGCAATAAAAAGAGTTGAGGGGCTGTGTAAAGTAAACAAAGAGAAAATGGATAGGGTAGATTCATCCACTAGTGAGCTATGCAAACAAAAACAAGAAATAATTAGCGAGGTGAAGAAAGTGACAACTATAAGCCAAGAGAAAGCACAAAGTGGTGTGGGTGTATCGTATGCCAATGCATTGAAAGGTATTCCTCCTATAATTGTCAGGCCGAAAAACAAACAAGCGGCTGAGAAGACTAGGGTGGACCTTAATAAGATCGATGCATCTGATATGAGAATTGATAGAGTGTCAAATAAGAATAACGGGGCAGTGGTTATAAAGGCAAATAGCGTTTCAGATAAGGACAGAATAAAATCTGCTCTAGCAGACAACTTAAATAAAGAAGTGTACGACATCACCGAACCCAAAGTCAATACGCCTAAAATTTTGTTAGCGCACATAAACGCTGAATATTCTGAGACGGAGATAATAAATAAGATAAAAGCTCAGAATAGCTATTTAAATGATGCTAGTTTGAAATGTGTAAAAATATTTAAGTCCAGGCGCAGTGGTGAGGCATTTCCTTCATTCAGTGCAATAATAGAAATTGAGCACAAATTCTTCCTGCAGGTATTGGAGTCAAAGAGACTTAATATTGGGTGGGATCGATGCCCCGTCTATGATGGGCAAACCGTGAGAAGATGCTACAAGTGTCTGGGCTTCAACCATAGCTCTAACAGCTGTAACAAAAAGCTTAGGTGTAGCAAATGCATGGGAGAGCACAAGTCTGAAAGTTGCACTGACAGTAGCCAAAAAGAAGTTTGTGGAAATTGTTGTGATGCTGTTAAAGAGTTAGGGCTAAACCTGGATGTAGCGCACAACGCATTTAGTCGTGAATGTCCTGTCTATATTAGGAAACTGAAACTAGAGAAACAAAGAGTAGGATGTTAGCAATTAGGTGTAATGGAAAAGCGTAACAGTTACTTAAAATGCGTGTATCTTAATATAAATAGTATAATAGCCAATAAAGCCGAGCTTGAAAGGCTTCTTGAGACTGTTGATCCAGATATAGTTTTATGCTCCGAAACATGTACAACAGAGGAAATAAACGACTCCGAAATCAAGTTTCCAACTTATCAGTTTATTAGATGCGACTCGTATAGTAGACACACTGGAGGGGTAATTGTAATTTTGAGAGACACAATAGACTTTAAAATAATAATAAATAGATCCACTGATAAAAATGTCTGGTGTATAGTGGTACAATTGAGAAATTTTGAAACCAAATGGAAAATCGGGGTAGTCTATCACTCACCCAGTTCGAGTGATGCAGATTTTCTGACATATATGGAAGCCATTTTGTCCGAAACATGCGCTAACATGGTAAATACCATTATTATTGGGGATTTTAATATAAATATGAATATATCATCGACATATAGTAGGAAGCTTAATGAGATATTCTCTCAGCAGGCAATGAAACAGTTAATCAACTTTGATACCAGGGTTACTGCACAGTCCGAAACGCGCATCGACTTGTTATACTCTAACACTAATGAAGTTTCATGTGAAAAAGCTGAGGAACATAGAATAACGGATCACGAAACCATAATGTTCAAATGCAATATAAAAAAACAAGGCGAAATCAATAAACTCTCTGAATTAATTTCTTGGGATGAGTACAGCCCAGACAACCTCATAAATCTTTTGAGACAATGCCACTTTGCAAACCTGAATAGTTTCAATATTGATGATATGCTCGAACATATCAACCTTTGTTTGATTTCGAGTATGAATCAACTAACTTCTCGGGTACAAAGGCGGGTTAAACTTAGAAATAAATGGTATGATAGACAACTGACTGACACTAATAAAGAAAAGTTTAGGTTACACCAAAGGGCAGTACTCACAGGTGATTGGGTAGATTACAACAAAATAAAGAAAGAGTATAAGAAAATGATCAAAATTAAGAAAATTCAGTATATGGAACACAAGGTAGAAAATAATAGAGGTGATAGTCGTTTAATGTGGAAATATTTAAAGAATATTCTTAATAATACGGGTAACAGAGACAATATCAAAGAAGTTCTCATCAACGGAAAAATATACAGAAATAGTATGGTAATCGCCGAAGAACTAAACAAGTACTTTGTGGATAGTATCGTCGACATAAATAGTAATATAGAGAACGTAAATTGTGAACAGTTACGACAGGAAGACAGTCGAGGCACCTTTAAATTTGAGAAAATTACCTCAGAGGATGTTATCCTTATAGTGAAGAAATTTAAGACTAAAATTGGTGGAAATAATTTATTATCTGACGGTGTTATAAAGGATTCAGTTGAATACATGGGACACTTTTATGCCTTATTAATAAATAAGAGTCTTGAATCAGGAACAGTACCAAAAGAATGGAAAATCTCGACCATAGTTCCGGTAAAAAAAGTGAAAAAAACTGTAAAAGCCGAGGAAATTAGACCAATTAATACACTGCCTAGCATGGAAAAAATCTTGGAAAATGTGGTAAAAAATCAGTTGGCGCGCCACATTGAAAGTAATAACATACTCATTAAGGAGCAATCAGGTTTTAGAGCTAAACACTCTTGCGAGACTGCGCTAAATTTTGTTATATCCCAGTGGAAGGAAGACCTTAACTCGAAGATGAATATCGTTGCGGTTTTTATTGATCTCAAAAGAGCTTTCGAGACCATTGACAGGGCAAGAATGTTGAAAAAGCTCGAATGCATTGGTATTGAAAACACGGAGCTTAACTGGTTTCGAAGCTTTCTCTCAGATCGTATGCAACAAACCGTAATCGAGTCAAGTGTGTCAAATAAAGTGGCAGTCAATATTGGGTTGCCGCAGGGATCGGTATTGGCCCCAGTACTTTTTAATATTTACATTAACGACATAAATATGGCACTCAAGCACTGTAAGTTAAAACTGTTCGCTGATGATACACTGTTAACGATCAGTGACAGAAACTTACAGACTGCGATGACTAAAATGCAAGAAGACTTCGATTCTTTGTACAAATGGTTGTGTTTAAATAAACTTAAGTTGAATGTAAAAAAGACACAGTTCATGATCCTCACTAGAGCAGTTAATCTTGGAACCACCAGTTACAATTTAAAAATCAAAGAGGAAGAAATTGAGGAAGTTAAACTCATTAAGTACCTGGGTATATATATAGATAATAAACTTAAATTTGATGAGCATGTTGAGCATACAGTGAACAAAATTGCGAAAAAAATTGGTCTTATGAAAAGATCTTGTAAGTATCTGAGAAGAAGGTATAAAACCCTGGTCTATAGATCTATAGTAGAACCACATTTTATATACTGCCCAACAATCTTCTTCTTAGCAAGCGACGCAAATATCGAGAAATTGCAAAAAATGCAAAATAGAGCTATGAGGTTCATATTAAATAAGCGTTACGATACACCTACACAGGAGATGATCACAGATATGAATTGGTTGAGTGTTAAGCAACAGGTTTTCTATCATGCTATGAAATTCGTATACAACATAAAGAACGGTAAACTTCCAGACTATCTGAGCGACAATCTTCGGTATATAAATGAAACTCATTCATATATACTCAGGGAAAACAATTGCTTTAGACTCCCACTTTATAGAACAGAGGTAGACAAAAAAAATATATTTTATAAAGGTTTAAAGTGTTTTAATGAGTTACCGCCACATGTTAAAGACTGTGATAACTTTGTTGCTTTTAAAAGACAACTATTTGATCACTGTAAAACTCTGGCTATTAGGTAGGAGAGCACGGAACGGAATGGAAACCAGGCCTTTCCATCCGACCAAGCAGCAAATGATCTAGCATACGAAAGCTTCCGACTATGCCCAACAGCCCGACCATAACGCGGAGCGGAAACTAGGCCTTTCCGCCCGCCTCACATCACGGAATCCAGCGTCAGGGTTTGCATATTAATGACGACGGGAACATGGATCGGAGACTCGGCCTTTCCGACCGTGACTACCAACTCGTGAGCAACGCG